GATGGATTCATCTTAGGGTCGCCATAAGTTGGAAATGACTTGAAGGCAAACAATAACAATAATCTCTCAGCTAATATACATTAAGGCTCTCCTTGCATAATACTAATTTACCTTAGAGGGAATATAACAAATATAAAATATTGAATTAAGGCTTCAGTCCTAAAGTGGGCTGGCATCAGGTAAGAAAACGAGACAACACAGTGTCCCCAATGCCCACCCACATCATCTAATTGCTTCTGGCAGTTGCAGTAAGTAGCATTAGTTAGTGGGTGGCTGTGGGCTGCCTGGCCTTCTGATTTCCCACCATGCCTGTACCAATGGTGCCTCTGCCTCAAGACACCACATCCCATTTTGTCTTGGAAGCTAAGCAGGGTCAGCCCTGCTTAATACTTGAACGGGAGACCACCAAGAAATACCAGGTTCTGTAGGATATATTTCAGAGGAAGCAACTGGCAAAACTGCCTCTAAGGATTTCTTGCCTAAGAAAACCCTCTGAAATTCATAGGGTTGTCATAAGTTGGCAGGTGACTTGAAGGCACATATATGTGCACTGTACCAATGCTACTGTGGGAGGAGAGCTATAATCAGCATTGAACCCTGGCAGCTGCCCAAGAGTAACCAATGCCATACTGCAAAGATCAATCTCAGTCCTAAAACTCCGCTCACTCACTAAAGGATGCATCCCATTAAACTCATCAGAACTGAGTTCTGATGAATGTGTTTGATAAGGCAGCACAAATGCTGTATAAACATTAAGCAGAATAAATTTCACAGTGTGCTCTCAGTAAAAAAGAGGTGGACTATATTATATTGTTTTCATTTCAGAAAGCCATTTAGTTTACTGTCACTTGTGTTTCATTTACATTAACTTCAGAGGGAGGTGGGTTTTCCCCCCAGTCTGTTTCAGGAAAACAAAAACAAAAGCCAAGATCCTACATCCATCAGCATACTCTCCAGCTGATTAATCCTCCATCATCCCATTTTTTCAGCTGCTTTTAAAACATCCCTGTTTCTCTCTCCTCTTCCCATTTTCCCCCTTTGTCCTCAGCTCACTTCAGTTGCTACAAACTGAGTTCAAAGTAATTTACACTCAATTTTAACTCAGCAGGGGAGAAAGAAGAGGAGGAGGTGGAATCTTCTTCTTCCCAGAAGCTTAAGGCAAAAGCAAATTTATGCAGCATTTCCTAGATTGCCCGTTCTTTCACATTAACAACTTTAGCCAGCTTGACCACACTCTGATGTTGCTCGGGCATGTGTCCCAGTTTTCATCTGTGAAATGTTGGAGGGTACAATGGTGTGGAAGTTATAAATTAAAACATCTGGGACACCAGATGTTCCTCATTCCTGCCTTTAAACATTCTAAAATTTCTTTGAACACAAGGTAATTAATGAATAGCATGTAGAATCCACATTTGTGAATATGAAGGCCAAAGAGGAACAGCGTCTCCTCTTTAAGCTGGACCCAAAGGGGGTGATCATGGACACATGTACCACTGCTGCCACCATGTACTGCTTCTGAGGGCCCTTTTACTTGCTTCTACTTGAGTTGGATGGAACCTCTATAGAGCACCTGTGCACCACCATCCATTGATTTGAATTCTCCCCTTTATAGAATTGCAATGGGAGGTTGCTGGGATTCCACTGGTTCTTCCCATCTCTGATGCTGCAGAAGTGTTTCCTTCCCTCTGACAACACTGGTAAAGGGACTAAACCAAGCAAAGGCATGTGAAAGAGGAGCATGAGAGACAGAGTTCTTTTGAAGGAAAAGGTTTTATTCAAAATAAGAAATCTCCATAGCAAAAGGGTATCTCTTTACATGAAGGACCAGTGTGGTGTAGTGGTTTCAGTGTTGGACTATGGCTCTGGAGACTAGGGTTTAATTCCTAGCTTGGCCATGAAACCCACTGGGTGACTTTGGGAAAGTCACTCTCTCTCAGCCTCAGGGGAAGGCAATGGCAAAACCTCCTCTGAACAAATCTTGC